ATATATATTTGTGTTTATTATTACCACGGTTGGCGTTTACGGTATTTTATGTACCATAAGAATTTTTTTTATTGATGTCTTTTTGATTGATGTTTCTTGTCAAGCATAAAATATTGTTAGAACATCACTACTCCGGGGAATCCCTGTAACTCACACGACCGTCGTTATAATTCATATGGTTGAGGTTATATGTTGCCGCACTGTTACACGAAGGCACAAAATTGTACCCAGAATAGGCTATGCATTTCGATGTCTCACGTTCCCGTTCCGCATTTCCATCTGTCCGTGCAGAGCGCGCGTCAAGGAATTGCAGATTAGATGGAACTAGCTTTGAGCATTTGCGAGATGAAAGTTTAGTTTTGTACGATTATTCATTGCAAGCAAACATGTCAGTCTCTTATTTCGCTTTTACGCTAATTAATAATAGCTATATTGATTTCGCAACTCGAAAACTTTACCCGTTCAAAATTGAGTCAATTTATTAAAATGGCAATTATCCATCATCGTTGATAAAATATCTTTGATGGAAGTAAGGTCGGTGTCATGTTAATATAATTGATCGTTAAACATCTCAATTGCGAAACTCTGTTACAAATTCTAACCGTAATTAACTAACTTAAATATCCAATTTTAAAATTGTTATTATCTTCGATCATATTATTCGAAATTAACCTGTTATTTATCTTTTACAGTGTGAGTTAAATTTTTGCAATGTATTTATGACTTTATTTTCTATTGCCGTCTTTCATCATCAGATCATCATTACCCCCAGGGAATTGTAATAATGTCTACTAACGCACGAATTTTGGAGATTAATAATATTTATTTTTTTACACACTTTATTTTACACACGTTAACAAAATGAGCATAAATAATGTGCAATCCGCAGCGACATGATAGATACACGCGTCAAATCATAGACAAACTCACACGAGCAAGCGCCCGAAATAGCGGTTTTATTTTCAAACGGTTCCGTACAATGCGACTGATATCGGAAACAACCTCCCCCATCCAATTTCCCCGCACCTTTCGCCGCCACTAATGCGGTGGAATGAAAAATATAGAAGCTACGAACGTAAATTTAGTAAACGTAGTAAACGTAGAAAACGTATATGCATGTTGATATCTTTTATGCGATCGGGCCGAAAGAGGCCACATTGGGCCACATGGGTTCATGGCCTTCATCGGCCCAGCGTTTTTCAACAACTTTCGACGCCTTGATCGACGCAGTTTTAAGGGTATTGTTGTCTTCGTTGATGCATTGATCGTTGACGATTTGAAACCAAAACCCACAGACGTTTGTCCCGACATAAATGTTTAAGACGAGAAACATAAGTACGGGTCTCAAATCGTTCACAATGAAATTGTTTCGATGGAGTAAAATACGGTTCCTGTAATTATAAATTGTGGGGAGAGTGAAGTGGCATCGTGCCGTGTTTATCTCAAGGGTTGTTTCGTGAGGGCTTTCACGCGAATGACGGCTATTTTTATTCGTGCACGGACCCGCGAAGAATTTCGCAAGTGGTGCGAATTCTCTGTTTGAGGACAGCTAGTCGGCTCCAAATAGTGTACTCGTGGACGTGCACATGCAATTATTTTCAACGAATAAAAGCTCCAACCTTTATAGTGATCTGACCTTTCGGGTTGTGCCTAGTAACTACTAAATAGACCGCATGACACTAACGGGAATACCCTCTTGTTGATTTGCGTCGTCCGATGACACACATATGTGATATTGTATTACGCGATTGACTAATGAAACATTACCTAATGAAACAACAACAACAACAGAAGCTATGTTAACGAATATACCGTGTTCATTTCTATGCGTTTCATTGCTTTCAGCGTTCATGGTCACAGGACAGACTGGGGAGTGGGACTTCTTTGTTAGTCCCATGTGAACTGATGTTTAAAGAAAACGGCTAACGTACGTGAGATTTGCCCGATATTGTATACGGTGGTACGGAGCAACCTCGGCTGTTGCAAAGGGCAGGCGCGTTCGGTTAAGCACCACGACCTCATAGAAGACCGGCGTAAAGTGGAAGTATAATACTTTCGGGCGGCGGTATTCACTTAACGTCAGGTGAACCGCCTGCTCACGTGGTAATTTTTCACATAAAAAAAGACCTGGTCAATGTGTTATCGTTTTTATTTTCGCACAGAATGCCGAATTTGTGGCTTTTAATCGTAATAGCCTCGATCGAGTCGAACGCCATACAGCTATTATCGCCACAAAGATCGCCAGCTATTTGGCCCGCGAAATATTCAATTGGAATGCTGCTATATTGCGAGCAGTGTGGGCATGAGGTATTCAATGGTCGATACAGTAAACCGTGTACATTGCAATGGTTGAATTTTACTTCTATTCGTATTAAATGCTGTTTTTAGTTGGATTTCGAGCAATAGTTTAACTCAAGTAAACGTGTGAATGAAGGGAAATAATAATGTCTTCACGAGAACATGTTTTGTTTTTCTAGATCAATATCCCAGCAATAAGAGCATCTTCAAATTGTTTGGCAAATATACCAAACAGTTTGACGATGATGTTCGCCAGTTATACAGCGTGGTAATAATAACACGAATTGTGACTCTTTAAGTTATTTTGTACCGATACACTCGAAACTGCACTTGCTAAAATGTTGAATTATTCTATGTAGATTTCACAAGGCTGTTAAGTCTACTTTTTAGTGTGGGCTATCAGATATTATCGACATAAATACATACAAATTGCCATGAAAACCGGGTTTATATGTAACACAAAACACTAGCACGAACACCGGGATTCTTATCGATTTCTTAGCAAGCCCCTTAAGGGAAATTCAGGTATACGTGCGCGCGCTCACTTCACACGTTACATAACTAACACCTAATGCTCAGTATGGCTGAAGCTCATATCTTATATATGATAGTCGGGGTATATGTGCGACTGATACATTTATTGTGATACACGACTCGCGCCACCGTCGCCTTGTGATCCCGCAACATGCACCCTCGTAAACGTTTAAGTCATAAAACGGGCAAATTGACTACTCTTTCTCAGTTAGAATTTCTCCTGTCAGACATCGATGCGACGTATACCTCGACGCTGGCCTCTTGGCCGTCCGTTCCCGTACAAAATTGTTTCCAGGAAACAACGCCTTCCAATGTGCACAAGAGTCAAACGGCAACGCGGAGATGGCTCCGACTTATTGTTATCATTTTATTTTTTCCTCCTTTAGTGTTATTTTTTTATTTTCTAGTTTCTATTTAATTTTTTGTTCCTTTATTAATAACTTTTGTATAAGTAAAATTTGTGCACTAATATTTTTGTTTTTATTTTTCAATATGTTCTCGTGCTGTTTGTTGCTTGTCAAAATAAAGTTCATGTCTTTATCTATGTCTCGTTAAGGGGCGAACGCAATCAGGAGGTCCGGTCCCACCGTGCACTCCGATCCTTTGTGCATTCAACCGTAATCCTTTGCCATTCAAAATTTAATTGTTTGCGTTGATAGGTCTGCAACCCTACTTAAGCCACTTCATCGAAAATTTTTGGCGATAATTTAAAATATTATTCCTTTTTCCGTTTTCTAGTGTTATCTATAAATTGAATATTTCGGTGTTGTGTGTGATATTCTATATACAACTAGAGAGGCCCGTGTAAAGCTTACCGCAATAAAAATAAAACATATCTACGTTGTTATGGGATGATGTAGCGCTAGATTTTTGATTTTTAAAATGATACGTTGATCTTTTCCATACATTCAGAGATCGGATTATTTTACAACACATACGAAACATATTTTCATTTGTTAAATACAAGCGTGGGCCGCATTCAATTCGTAACATTACCTATGAATGTTTAAAACATAACTGTTAAACGATTTTCCCTTTTCCACACCCCTTAGTTCCCTAAATCCTTAGTTTGAAAATACATCAAAGTTGTTTCTAATTCAATGATCGGTAACTCAATATTCACACAGCGGTTGTATAAAGTATATTCGCCAATCGCCGGTGTTCCGAGAAAACTTCGCTTTATTACCTCGTATTTGTGTTTCCGTATCGTCTGCTTTATTGTGTTGCGTATTTAAATTACGGTGACGGAATCGAAATATCGCCTTTGTATCACGATTCTTGAATGGGACGGGTCGTGGACAGATGGGTGCGGGCGGAATACGCGGCTTATTCAAAAGTTATCGCGCCACGTAAAGTTTTCTACGGTGGATGCCCGTAGTCTAAACAATTTATAACTCGTGCGGATTTCGTTAAACTATCGCACCGAAGTTTCGTGTGTGAATGTTTGTGTTGTTGTTGGTTGGCTGGTAAATTTTTATTAATATTTTTATAAGAGACACGTAAATCGCATCATAAATCTCAGCGTAATCGATGTACATACTTAAAAAAAAATACCAAAACGAATTGTGGACCTTTTCCTTTATGAAGTCGGTTAAAAATAAGTTCGGACGGATAGAGACAAAAGCCAAAAGGATTAGAAGTATTAACACATTTAACTTTGGTATATCTAAAAACTATTATTTCATCAAATAAAAATTATTACAGCTTCTTCTGCAAAAGCTGTAATAACTTATAAACTATGGATAAAGTAAATAATAAAAGTTTTACAAACTAATTTTGACATTACGGCGCAAAACAAGTCGAGGCGTGTAGCATGCCCGTGGACTTGGCTTTCAGATAACAAATCCACAAATTATATTCTTTGTATTTAATATTTTTTTTGTCCACAAATTATATTTTTTGTATGTAATATATTATTATTAGTATTTTTGTAAAAATTTTTTTGTATTTTATATAATAAAAACTTTTGATTCTATGTATGTAAAGTATTCGGAACTTCAGCTCGCGGATAAAAATCCGTAGAATAATTTTATTTTATATAAAAAAAGTTTTAACATGTTTCGATCCCTTCTATAAAGTATTCGGAGCTTATTGAAAAATCGACAAATAGATGTAAAATGAAAAGGTCAAAAAATAAAAAAAAATATTTTATATGATAAAAAGTTTTAACATAGTTCGACGAACAAACTTTGCGAACCGGAAGCAATCGCAGCCGGCACAAGAGTGCGCGCGCCGCCGGCCGTTGGGGAGTTTGAAAGGGCGGGCGCGAGACTGCGCAGGATGGGCGCGCGGCGCGGCCGCTGCGGCGACACTCGCTGCGCGCCGCCGGCTTCACGTCCCAAAAGAGGACCCTTGGCCCTCAGGCGGTCCTGCCGAAAACCGTGAGGACGCCCGATGGCGCGGGTACAGCGCAAGGTCGTTGCCCGCATCGATCGCCGGCGAACGGCGCGCCTGTGCGGCACCGCACACGCCGCGCAACAAACCCCAACGGCACTCCGCCGCTCACGAGAGCCCGCGCGCTCAGTTTCAAAAAGCGCGTCCGCGGACGCAGACGGCGCGCCGAGCCGCCGCGATCGCCGCGAACTATAAACGCACCGCCAACTGTGACGCCAAACTACGAGCGACCACGATAGGTGCGCCCCGCAACGCCGCCTGACTTTTCCGCTGCCCCCAATGACCGTCAGAATTTTTCCCGAGGCCCCGCAAACAGTTTTCGAACATTTCGAGAAAGTTAGTTTTGAAAAGGCGCGGGCTTGGGCGCGGTGGCCACGTGACGTATCGCGTGGACGCCTACGCCCACCCCCCCGGGAGCGGATGCACCGGTGCGAATCTGCGCACCGCTGCACCGACGGGCTTAGAGCGCCAATTGCAGTCGGCATAAAGCACGTGTTGCAGATGCGCAAAGCTCAGTAGGAACGCGGCGGAAGTTTACATTAGTTACGTGGAAAGTTCAAACTGTTCGTCCGAGTCGTTTACCGGTCGCGGTTACGCGTTCGCGCTACGCGGCCCGTTTCGTTGAGCGTTGCACGCGTAATAATAGACAGTTAATTAAGTATATTTAACTACGATGCGTTGATGGACCATGGTGACTTTTATCGTGTTTTTAATGCGATTATAATTATTGAACGCGTCAGTTTCGGCCGCGGTTTGTTTTGTTTTGAATTTCGAACGTCATTAAAATTTTATGTGTTCTAATGCAAATTTTATTGTAAATTTGTTATACGGCTATTAAGTTATTTTGTTCGGTAAGGACTTAACATTTGCCATCGGAAAATGTTTAGCGTGTTGCGTGTTAAATTGGAAAAAATGCAATGAGAAATTTCTCAAAACTTTTTAAAATATACAACGTTGAAATTAAAACTTTTTGTGCACAATAATATTGTCGGCGTGTATAATTATTTGCTGGAATAAGAAATATATTGAAATACAGTTCTATATTTTTAGTAATACATATTATTATGTCATTACCATTTTTAAAAATTGGTCTAAACCAAAATCGTAATTTTTATGGGCTTTAAAAAATTTTGTCGACGTGTTAAAGACTAATGGAGGATGATGAGTTTTTTTTTCTGGACTAAAATTTAACTGTGCCAGCCAGGATTTTATCAGAAGTAGGACGTTTATTGTTTGGCATTTTCCCATTTTTTTTATTTATTATGTTACTTCTTTTTAGTAGCAACAATGGAATAGGGAAGTGCGTCATTACGTAATTTGTGGTTCTGATTACGGAATATGGAATAATCTTTCAATTAATGAATATTTACTCATATTATATGTATATTTAAGATTATTGAACATTTGAATTTGCTAAAAGATATCATGATCAGGTCAAAGATGATCTGTAAAAATTTTATTTTACTGTTTTACTCTATCGTTAGTTGTGTTTCGGATTATGCTCAAACGAGGAAATGACATTTTTATGTGGTAAGTTGAAATATATTTAAAATAGAAAAAAAGCTGGCGCGACTCCTTTTATTTTTTTTTGCTTCTTTATTAAAACATCTTGATGATGCAAATCATTGGAATGTTCTTTTGTTTTTTTAAGCGTTCTAGTTATGCTTATTAAAGTTAACTTAGCAAAAAATAGGACTCGTTTAATATTTATACCTAAAGCAAACCATTTCATTGTGCTGCTATTATTCAATGGGCTGCACGAAGCATCACAGAAGGGCACTTTTCTTGGACATTCCTCGTTGACGTTGCTTAAATATACTAACTACTTTATGATGATCCAGTGCAAACTGTCTATGTTACATTTTTTTCTTGCATGTACAGCCATAAATGTATATTGTGTTACGCGCGTAAGCGATCAGTTAAAAATCGTATTCACTGAGAATAATATGCGTATGACATTTATTATATTAAAACACGTAGCGGCCACCCCAAGATTCCACCTTATTCGCGTAGCTCATTTTAATCAACGACGCCATCTTATCTAAACTTTATCTCGATTCTACACACGATTTCGTTCGTGTATCTCGTACGCGTTTATGTGTTAACATACACATAATTATATTGTATGTATTCAATAGAGTACTGTAAATGTAATTTATTGGAATATTATTATTACATGATTATAAGATAATAATAAATTGTATTATCATGTTATTATATTTGTTTGTATTTGGTTTATTTTGTTCGTAGGAATAATTTGTAACGTAGCTTGGTTATATTTTTTAACTTGGTTATTAGGTCAAAGTCAACTGTTTCTTCTCAGTTAGAGGAACCTCATTACGAAAAGGTGGTAGATTTAAAAAATGACTATCGATAGATGAAATGATACATCTCTTACTTCGATGTATAAATGATTTGATTTGATTTAATTTGAAAAGAAACATGTATCCACCCATACATGGCTAATGGCCATAAAAAGGATCCATTGCAAAAAGTCTGAAAAGCTTTTGTTAAAGTCAAAGTTTCCCCCAAAAAAATTCTTTTTGTATGTGCTTTTTCGCATTTGCGTTTTATTGTGGTTGGCCCACTCTTAACTTTCGCTTAGTCTTGTTGTTTTTCTAGTTTAAATATGCTGCCGGCGCGATTTATATTAAGTTAGTTAATTGTAGAAAGGAGATGATGTAATAAATGAGTTTATTAAACATTTATTACCCTCACCGCCGCTGTTATTATATCTAAAACTGTGTTGTTTTTGTTTAGTGTACGTCATTTCTTTTTGGTTTTTCTCTTCAGGGCATAGTATACTACAGGACTATGATAGTGTGGTTTAGCAGATATTCGGGCATGGAGTTCTCGAGACAAACAAGTTGCAAATGTGCATTGAAAGTATGGTGTAATTTTTATCAACTGTATTCCTAGGTTTAATGTTTTCCGTTAAGTGGTACGATGGGATATCGTCGTTGCTGTAGTAGTATTACATATTCATGACCTCCGTGAATTAGATGAATTTTTTATGGCGACACGTGAATATCTTATATGTAGGTACATGACACATGAGGACCATCCGTATATTTATGTCAAATCTTAACGCGTTCATGTCAATTAGCATTTAATCAATATATACTATGAATGTTTCCGAATAAATTTTCATCCCGACGCCAGCACACATTAACTGTTAATTACTTTTTAAGCGACTTACTCCCGCTCCCGGAAGGAAAACATCGTTGGGAACCGACTTGACATCGTAGTTTAACTACGGAATGGTATTTTTTTTTAATTTCTTGGCAGTTAAAGAGGTAACTTCTTAAATCTTTCTGGTCACTATAAAACACTGAGATTCCCTGTGTTCTATCTAAAACATCCAAGATGACCGAAACTTAGGAACGTGTAGCCAGTTATTTAACTATGAATTTTATGTAGTTATGTAATAGGCTAGTACCCGTACCTACTGCCGTACACGAACCAAATCAACCGCTACTTGGATTTCGTCAATATGCAAAATAGGTGGATCAATAACGCTGAAGTCATGCCTACGAAGTTAGGGATTTGTCCAGAATTCTAATCTGACGGAATATACTCGCCAAACTGAAATGATGCAAGTCATTTTGATCCAGCATCTAGCCATAAATGAACAGTGAACGATTAAAGCACGGTTAATCTTTTCACCTTCTCTGAAAACGTAATTAACACTTCGAGGTAAATAACAATCGTTTCGCGGAAAATACTGTAACCGTTAAGTCTTTTGAATTTTAGCGTTCTTAACTTAAATCAAATCTTAATTAGCTATTCGATAAAATTCGTTTGATACAATTTAGCTTTAAACTTCTGTTTGAATTGAATTTAGCTCTTCGCTGAGAGAAATGGCTTTGTCGATCTCGAAACCTTCGTATTTTGACTCATCAGATTTTTGTACCATCTTTATCAAAAGTTACTCGATGCTGTTTAGATTATAATACAGTGTTATTACAGTCTTCTTAGTAACGTCTGTTAGTTTAGGAATTTTTAGTTTCTAGTGCCACGCAACTGTCGTCGCTGTTGCACGAATGGGCAAAATCGTGGGAAAAATCCTTTATGGATTGGGGGAGTGGAACCCCGCCACGGATATATGGGAGTCGCGGAAACGGGAACCCGCAACAAAAAAAACCACGTTTCACCTGTCTCTGTCGCCTGGACCGGGCACACGGGAACACGTCGACGCAATCTTCCGCGGCCCCGGTGCGACTGTGCCCTTTTTGGGCCTCCTCTTCTAAACGGTGCTCTGCCGTTGCAATTGCCACAGCACACGTCGCGAACCCCATAATGAGCGAACGACGCCCCGATGCCTGCCGCTCAGGGTCTCACAATCAGAGGAGAAAGTTGCGCGCGTAGGCCAGCCTCATGCGCCCTGCTCTCTGGCGGCGGATATCCAGTTGTCCCCCATTCTCTCTCCGCGACCTCCTTCCGGGTGATAACTATGCGAGGACAGCACCCCACGCCCTCTCGCTGTCAACCATAGAGCGAAGCACGGCTGGTAGTGAGAGGTCATGCTCCACGATAGCGGACAGCTCTCGGCGCTGCTCCGTCAAGGCTAGGCACTCTTGCAGCGCGTGTTGGGCCATCTCCTCGGCACATACGTTACAGTAGTGGCGATCCGCTGTGGGTTCCCGTTATCTCCTTGTCACTCGAAACAGAGACCTCCCGAAACACCCGTGTCCCGACAGGACCTGAGTCGCACGGTAGGTGACGTTGCCGTGTCGCCTGTCTGGCCAACTCCTGAGGACAGAACGCATGGCCTCTACGGTTCTTAGGCCGGCACTGGGGTGCTCTAGCCTCTGTCCCCACTCCCCGATGGCGTTTGAGCGCAGGTGGTCCCTACATTTCTCCAACTCCTCTGGGACCGGCATATGACCCTGGGCTGGTGAAGCCTCACGCCAGGAGTGCAATGACGCGAGGATCTTAGCTTCCAAATCCCAAGGCATGCAACCGGTCAACAGGCAAACCGGAGATCGTCCGGTAGCCCTGTAGGCCCACCAACGCCAGTAGCCTACACCATCTGCGGTTTGGGCAAAAGTGCTTGGGTCGGGCGCTTCAGGGTGTCAGTCCAAATGGGAGCTCCGTACAGGGCTATGTCCATGGGTGGCGGTTATCAAGTCAGCTCGTTTGCTACCTTCTGATATAAAAAACTTTTTTCGCCCGCGGCTTCACTCGCGTTGAACCCCTTAAATAAATATCTGTTCCCCTTAAGAATCCTTTTTCCAAATTAAAAAATAGCCTACGTCCTTTCTCAGGGCTAGACTATCTGTGTGCCAAATTTCATTTAAATCGGTTCAGTAGTTTTGGCGTGAAAGCGAGACAGACAGACAGAGATACTTTCGTATTTATAATATTAGTATGGATTTGATATCTATTAGCTTCGTGCATTAAATGTAACGGTTATGGGTAATACTTACAACAGTCCGCAAAATATATTAAACAGCAATCTCGCCAATATGCTTTATTATATTCC